ACCCCAAACCCCAAACCCCAAAAACCCCAAACCCCAAACCCCAAAAACCCCAAACCCCACACCCCAAACCCCACACCCCAAGGCCTTTTCCCTGGTCGTCCCTGCCAGTTCCGCGCCGCCTTTTGGGGCGATTCCCGCGGGATTTTGGGGTGAAAATTGGGGAAAAAGGGATTTTCTGACCCCGCTGGCCGTCCGGACGGGCTTGGCCCTGAGGAGGGGCAGCAGCAGGTCCCGCTGCGCCGGCGGCACCGCGGCCAGCAGCTCCACCCGGCGCGGCTGCGAGCGCAGCCCCAGGCGCGCCGCCGCCGCGCTGCGCAGCCTGCGGAGAGCAGCCACGGGGAAAACACAGAAATCAGCCCAAAAAACATCATAAATGTTAATAATAAATGTTAATAATAAAATGGGGGAGATTGTTGGGGAAATGGGGGGAAAAAAGTAACCGAAATCGGTGAAAAACAGAAATCGGCACAAAAAACACCGGGGATTGGGAGGGGACGGGGTGGAAATAAAATGGGGGGAAAAAAGTAACCAAAATTGGTGAAAAACATAAATCGGCACAAAAAACACCGGGGATTGGGAGGGGACGGGGTGGAAATAAAATGGGGGAATAAACGAACCAAAATCGGTGAAAAACAGAAATCGGCACAAAAAAACAAAGGGAATTGGGAGGGGACGGGGTGGAAATAAAATGGGGGAGATTGTTGGGGAAATGGGGGGAAAAACTAACCAAAATTGGTGAAAAACAGAAATCGGCACCAAAAACACCAGGGACTGGGAGGGGACGGGGTGGAAATAAAATGGGGGAAAAAAGTAACCAAAATCGGTGAAAAACAGAGAAATCGGCACAAAAACACAGGGAGAGTGAAGGGACAGGGGATGGAAATAAAATGGGTGAGATAGTTGGAAAAATTGGGAAAATAGGGAAAAAAACCACGTAAAATTGGTAAAAAACTAACCAAAATTGGTGAAAAACACGAATCGGCACAAAAAACACCGGGGACTGGGAGGGGACGGGGGTGGAAATAAAATGGGGGAGATTGTTGGGAAAATGGGGGGAAAAAACACGTAAAATTGGGAAAAAACTACACGAAATTGGTGAAAAACAGAGAAATCGGCACAAAAAACACCGGGGACTGGGAGGGGACGGGGTGGAAATAAAATGGGGGAGATTGTTGGGAAAATGGGGGGAAAAAACACGTAAAATTGGGAAAAAGTTAACCAAAATTGGTGAAAAACAGAAAAATCGGCACGGAAACACAGGGAGAGTGAAGGGACGGGGGAATTTAAAAATGTGTGGAATAGATGGAAAAATAGGGAAAATAGGGAAAAAACACATAAAATTGCTAAAAAACTAACCAAAATCAGCAAAAAAAGCAGAGAAATCGGCACGGAAACACAGGGACTGGGAAGGGACGGGGAAATGGAAACAAAATGGGTGAAATTGTGGAAAAAATGGGAAAAATCGGGGGGAAAATGAGAAATTGGCACGGAAACACAGGGACTGGGAAGGGACGGGGGAATGGGAAAAATGGGTGAAATTGTCGAAAAAATATGAAAAATCGTGAGAAAAATAATGAAAACAGGGAAAAAGCCACATAAAATTGGTAAAAAAACAACCAAAATCTTAAAAAAGCAACCAAAATCAGCAAAAAGCAGAGAAATCGGCACGGAAAACACAGGGATTGTGAAGGGACAGGGGAATGGAAAAAATGTGTGAAATTGTTGAAAAAATAGGAAAAATCGGGAAAAAAATAATGAAAATGGGAAGAAAAACACATAAAATTGGTAAAAAACTAACCAAAATCAGCAAAAAAGCAGAGAAATCGGCACAAAAAACACAGGGAGGGTGAAGGGACAGGGGAATGAAAAAAAATGTGTGAAATACTTGAAAAAATAGGAAAAAT